CACTTTAAAGTTTGTATCATTTTAATGATACGGTGGGTGAATACTTGTGCTTAAATTATATATATATTTTAAAAGAGCGACTAGTAATGCAGGTTTTATCTTCTCCCTGCCATTCATTATTTTTTATAAAGCTCTATCATGTCTTCTTTTATTCATGCCATCCATAAACAGGTTTAATCTTTTCAGTTTCTCCATTTAGAAAATTCTCAGCCTCTAATAATTCCTCTCTCAGATAGTTTCAGTTTGCTGTATCTGTTTTGAAATCCAGTTCCCAGAACTGAACAAAGTACTCAAGATAACTTGAAGCAGTTGTCTGAACTGTGGGAATTATAACATTTCCAGTCTGATCTTTCTTTACATTTTGCTCACTTTCTAAACACTGCTTCCATTGAGCTTTCCACAGTAACACCAGGATTTTCCGAGCAGTTGCACTCAATTCAGATCCCAGTAGGTTGTGAGAATATTCCATCCAGATTTAAGTTTTCCTAGCATGAATCTCTGTTGTGTTTATTGATCTCCTTAGGACAAGTCTCTAATTGCTATCTCTGAGGCTCTTTTACAGCAAGCAAAAACAAATAACGGTGTGCGTTCTGTACGCTGTCACATCCTTTTACCCCTTTCCAGATCAGTGAGATTTTTAACATACTCTGCTAACTCACATGTTTCCTAGAGATGCCAGGTTGTCACAGGAGGCCTGCGTGTGCATACCCTTGGGATATATCTGTGCCGTCCCCCACAGCGAGTGCAAACACTGCCAAGCATGTCTGTAACTTACAGCACTGCATTTCAACTCATCTATTGCCTCTCTCTCAGCAGGTGACTTGGCTGCCTTGTTTACAGTAGCTGGGGTCTCTCAGCATGGCAATACACAGTGAAGGGCAGACATGAGCCCAGTCACGTTGAAAGTCAACCAGATAGTAGCAATATTTGCTTTCCAGCAGTTTTGAATGCTCAGCAGTACCTTCTCTCCCACCACAAGTTGACTTTATAAACATCTGATAATTATTGTGTTAAGGAATCAGCTGCAAGTGTGAACACATTTACACATACTGTTTCCTCAAGGCAGAGTTTCCTCAATACAATCAAAAACCGTACGGTAGCTCCATGAAAGGGAAATTTTTCCTTAACAAGCTGAAGCCCAGGGGCTCATCTCCTATCTTAGCATACTCACATTTTATTACTTCCTTCAGTTACCACCCCAACTCATTTTCCAGGTACATAAGTCCCTAGTTTCCAGAAGGACAGCTAGCCCCTAGACACAAGATACAGGATTTACACTGCCTCCTGACAGAAATACTATTGCAATTACTACATTGATTAAAATGTATATTATACACAACTAAAAGGCTGCAATTAAACTAGGCCCCACTCTGCTAGCCACCACACAAATGCGTAACAAATTTCAGGCCCTCAGGAAAAATATTTAATTCTAATGTAAACTCCTTGGGGCAGAAATTATCTTCATTTTTGTTCTGTGGGAATGCAGTGCCTGGCTCTGGTGGACCCCCCAGGCTGCACCACAGTGCTAATAATAATACTGGTAATGATAATTAATATTAGTATCAAATGCTGTTCTTCCAATTTTATCACCTTACCTCTCCCCTTCTATTTATTTATTTGTTCGTTTTTGAGAGTGTCCTAAGTATGTATTTCATTTTGACTGAAGAATCCTTTCTTTAATGGTCTAGAGGTGTGCTAAGGATACTCCGCTCTGCTTACAGGGAACAAACAGAGCCATGGAATAAAATGTTTGGTGGGATGAGTGGCGTTCTGAGTAAGGACAAGTGGCAAGAGAGAAGGGACACCATCAAAAGCTGTTCTTCTGCTCCATGTGAATGTTAATACTTGTTCAGTGCTCCATGATGAACTCCCTCGGTACACTGTGTTACTGGAAAAAATCCTCCTCAGTGAGAAAGAGGCGCATGTCACTGCTGACTCAGAAGCTGGCAATGGTCATATCAGCACGCTCTTTAATTTTTTCAAATGTCCTTTTTTTTTTTTTCTTTTTTTTTTTCTCACCCTCTCCCAAGGAAGTGCACATTCCCTAACTAGTTTTGCTAGAAGGCATTCCAGTTGTTGATTTGAAAGTATCGTTCTTAACCCAGACTGGGAGAAATGGGGATAAAATGTCACAACAGAAGCAGGATAGCTTAGTGTTAACGTGTTACAAAATGTGATGCTGATTACTTTGTGGGAATATAATAGTGATTAATTACTGAAATGCAAGAATTTACTAATTTTTATGCTTCATTACCCCCACGATGTCTATAGAAATACCATTAATCAGTTTCAATATCAAACTGGACTATTTGCAGTTAGTGTCCTACTTTTAAATGTATTTGAACAGTTAGGTTTTAAATGACATTAAGCCAAGTAAAACTAGATATATTTCAAGTAGAGTTTAAAAAAAAGAAAAAAACAAACAACAAAACAAGAACTAGAATGGCAAACTGGCAAAGGATCTGTCCTCAAGATACAGATTATATCCATCTATAAAAACATCTGATCTGTTTCAGCAAAATATCATCATGACCTAGATAAGAAAAGTAATCTATATCTGCACAATACTAAGACACAGCTGATTGTGCCTGTCTGCAAACCTTTTAAATATCACCCAGCTGTCTCAATTGCACCTTCTGGAAATATTATTATTTACCTTCAGCCTAGAGTGGGAAATACATTTAGAAGTGTGCATGTAAAGTTGCATCGATGATTAAAAGCCCCCAAAACATGCAAAATAATAACAATACTCGAGTGCTTTATTTCAGTGAGACTAGAGATCAAATAAGTCTATTGATAATTTTTCAGGGCTTACACCTGGGAGAAAGTGCTATCAAAATCTTTTGTAAGAAAAATGAGGCGTCCTACGAATGACATTGTTTCTTGCTGTTGAAACAATGATCATTTCCTGCAGCAACATTAGTGTCTCTAAACACTTCTCAAAACACGTTAACTAACACGCTTACTTTTCCAAAAGGTTTTAGAACTCCATTTGCTTTCCAGCTTCCAGACTTTTTGAAGAACAAAATCAAATAACAACACTGTTCCTCCATGTGATTGAAAAGATGAAAATATGATTTTATATATAGGAAATAGGAGAAGAATGTCTCTGCTGCTACAGAAGCTGGCACATGGCAGATCATTCACTTCCCTAATACTACTCCTTCCACCTCAGAACAAGTGAATTTGCTAAGGTAAAATATTCCATTTAACTGTGCTAGGCTCTGGCTGGATGCACACTTTTTTAACTCTACAATTACTATTTAGCATGCAAATAAGACAGATAAATATGCGGTGACCCTCTTTCATATCCAACCTTCCATCTCCCTCCCTTGTGCCATCATTGTGTTTGGCTGTGATAGGATCTGCCAGCAGTTCTGCTGTGAGCTGCACTGCTTTGTGATGAGTTCCTGGGGGGCAGCCTTTCTTGTCTTTGGCAAACTCTTCCTAAAGAGTATTTTCTGCAGAGTGCCAGCAGCTCTTGGCACAGATTCATCAGCTCACAGTGACTTGCAGTGCTGATACTTAATAGTCATCCCCTGTAGCTTAGCAGAAGCAGGAGCTGAGATGGATAACGCAGCATCTAAGCTGCGTCTTGCTTGTTGGGTTTCTTCTGTTTGGCAAACTCTAAAGACCAATTTTATATAAACCAGGGAAAAGAAGACACTTGTCTCGCACTTTGCGTGGTGTTGTATCTACTATTGTTGAGGGAATAAGAATGTTTAAGGGAGTTTCAACAAACTGATACCACCAAGCCCTTCGTGGATGAAGAAAGAAAGAAGACTGGAAGAGGAACTGACTCAGCTTTTGCCTGCCATGCAAAGCAGGAAAAAGGACGAGCAGGTGAGTGTCTGTGACATGCAGTTGGCCGTTGCTGTGGGAAAGCATTCCATCCTCAGGGTAACTCAAGGGAGACTCTGCTACTCAAAGCGTCATGGCCTGATGGCACTTCCCATCCACTTGGCTGTGGGAGAAACGTAAGATCTCTGCCAGAAGGGCAGCCACAGATTCTGCCAAGCTTGTCTTTTCCAAGCACTGATGGCCAGGTAGGTGAACATTATCCACTTTAACCTGCTTCACTGTTGTCCTCTCCCTCCATTCTTTGATCCATCATCACCCTTTTTACCACCTGCATATCCCTTCCTGCCAGCTGCCTGCACAGCACTCAGAATAACAGACTCTGTTCTTCCTTTGTTGCTGAACAGGGGGAAATGGTTTCAAACCAAAAGAGGGGAGATATGGACCTGATATAAGAAAAAGTTTTTGCAGTAAAGGTGGTGAGGCACTGGAATAGGTTGCCCAGAGATGCGATGGATGCTCGGTCCCCGGAGATATTCAAGGTCAAGCTGAAGCAGGCTCTGAGCAACCTGATCTAGCTGTAGGTGTCCCTGTTCATCACGGAGGAGTTGAACTAGATGGCCTTTAAATGTCCCTTCCAACTCAAACGGTTTTATGACTCCTTGCCCCTTAGGCCCCGCTGCCATCAGATGAAACGAGTGAACAAAACCCTCTCTGCACTTCAGAGAGCTCATTTTAAGGGTCCCAGCAGCAAGTTCCAGCCCGAGAGCAGCTCCTCACCGACGGCCTCGAAGCTAATTCACATTTACAAGATGAAACGTAAAGAAGTTCGAGAGGCTCCAGACCGAACGGGGCAGGAGCCCAGGTTAACCGCCGCCATTTCGCCGAGCGGGCACCCGCCACCCGGTGTCCTCGCCGCCCTGGGGCGGCCGAAAGGCTGTGGAAAGCATCCAGCTTTCGGGCGGCAGGGGAGCGGAGCACGCTGAGGTGAGGGCGGCGCCGGGGGCCGGCTGCAGCGCGGCGGGGGAGGCCGGGATCCTCCTGAATGAACGGCTCCTTCCCCGCCTCGCCTCGCCTCGCCTCGCCTCGCCTCGCCTCGCCTCGCCCCGCACCCCCGCCCGCCACTCGCCGCCGCCGCTCCGAGGCGCAGCCAGTTTCTATAGCGACGGCACCGATCCTCCGAGTAGTAACAAAGCCGGCTGCCCGCGGCCGCGCCGGGCCGGCGGGAGAAGCTGCTCCCTCTCCCCAGGGCACCGGCCGGTTGCGCCCTGTCAGGTACGGGGCGGCCGGGAGCCGCCGCGCGGCGGGGCTGGGCTGGGCGGCGGGGAGAAGGGATCCGGGGAGCGCGAGGCTGGCAGAGCCGAGCGAGGTGCCGCTCCTGCTTGCCGGCTCGCTGTGCGGGCTCGCAGGGAAGCGGTATGGCGGACCGGGCTCTGCAACCGGTGGGCTACCGCTACCCGCCCGCCCGCCTGCCGGGGCCGCCCGGCGCTGCTGTACGCTCCTATTGAAATACGCCGTGCCCCGTCTGGGAGTCGTGGGGTTACAAAGTTTAATTCGCTCAGCTCGGTAAAGTAACGCTGAGCGGGGTGATAGTTGTTGTTTGAAGGGGAGTCGACGCTAGAGCATTGGTACTGAGGAATAATCGGGAAATTGCTGCTTGTTTTTAGGAGTAAGTGTGCCGAAGGGCTGTAGGTGAGATGGGTTCGTCGCTTTCAGATCCGGATCCAGACTGAGGCGAGATGCTAGGGGTGATAAAACGCCTTCCCTTGGGAAAGCAGGGGTAGAGAGAGTTCCTCGCCTCAACGCGAGGCCCTCCGCCAGCAGGCAGGCGGCGAGCAGTGCTGGCGGTGCCCAGACGGGTGCCGTGGCCACGGACACCTCAGCAAAGTTGCAAGTCCAGAGCAACTTCCAGTGATACCAGCATGGCTGACCTTGTGTGGGAAGGTCCTGAGGAGCAGTCCTTGGTCGTGGCGGAGTGAGCGAGGAGATGAGGTTCTGGGTGTACCAAGGGAATAGCCTGCAGAGCCCTGCAACGGGGATCCTGTGAGGTGTGAACGAGCGAAAATGAGGAGCGGTGTGTGAGCGTGGCTGTTGGGTTACTGGCGGGCGGACAGGAGCGGAGATGATTAGTAGCATGTAACTTAAATGGCAGAGACGCTGGGATTTAAAACGCGGCACATAGAGTGATATCGGGCAATTGGAACCCCAGAGCTCAGTATTGACCTGAGGAGGTTGGAGAGAAGCCTGAAGAAAGCGGGTGTTCCATGAGAGTTACCCATAGCGTTTCAGTGAACGAGGTGCAAATATGTCATTGGCTGGAAAGGGGAGACGTGCAGCTCTTAAGCAATTGTGAGCGCAGGTAGCATGCAAAATTGAGGTGTTTTCTTCTTGCAAGAAATGTGTCACCGAATTTAAGTTTTAAATGAGGGTTACTCAAGGTTAGATGTTTCAACTCCATCTGTTTGCTGTGGGATCTCCTGATTACATTTCATATTGAGAATTCAGATCTCTTTGGAAAAGGAAAATTACTTATTTAGAATTTCTTATTTACATGGGTTGCAACGATTTGCCTAGTGTGTATTGGTTTTTGTCCTTTGTTCCTTGCAGAGAAGTGTCACAAGAGTTATTTTGTTCCAAAAAAGTTATAACCTTCTGAACGACCTCTGTTTTTCATGCAACACTGAAAAGCTAGCACTCAAGCTTATTAAATGTGTAAAAATGGAGACCTCCTATTAATTTAGCATGATGGAAAACAACATCTCAAGACCTTACCTATGGCCATCTGAAATTGAATGCACGTAGCAGAAAATAAAAGGTCAGCTGTGTGTGTGAACCTAGGGACCTATATTCTCTTAGCTGCATGGCAGAGAATGAGAGAAACACCAGAACTCAATACAATTCTGCCTTGAAAGCTAAAGGAATAGGCAGAATGTTTATGGTTATGCAGCTGGTGACATTTCAGTCCTGAAATTGTTTCATGTAGAACAACTGCAAGCTGTACTTGATGAAGTTTATCAGTGGAAGGAAAAAAAATAGTTGGAGCTGAGGCAATGCCAGGCAGGTAGAAGGCAGCTCGCTGTGGATAATATGTCTTGTAGCATAAAGTGACATGTATAAGGGCTTCTAGTGGGCCGAGCAATTCAAGTACTTAGATCACTGTCTCTCACACTCTGTTATTTCACACCTTCCTGATGCCCCTACATCCAAAGCAGGCTTACATGAAGCCTATTATCAAACTGTCATGAAAACATCCTCTAAAGCTGTGTGCTCTCTGCAGTGATACAAGGCAACTGCAGGAGTCAGCACTCATGACTATTTCTCCTGCCTCCATCAGTCCCAGCTGAACATGTCTTTGTCTATATGCTAGGTTTGATGTCTCTGTGCTGAATGATTTGCTGGAGATGTCTGTGTGCTTGCTGCAGCCAGCAGCTATTTCAGGTATACAGAGACACCACCTGCTACCTCGAGGCTGCAGTTTCAGTCCGTTAGCAAGGTTGCTAAGGAGTTCCAGACATCCTCAGAGAGCAAAGCTCAGGAAATTCTCCTGTGGCCTTTGCAAGCATCGTGTGCTGAAACGCTTATATCCAGTATAAACTACTGTTCTGACAGTAATGTAATACAGGCAGATGTGTACTTTAGGATAGTGTAACGTATGATAGTTGTGACTTTCCAGTAGAAAGAAAACGCTTGCAAGTTTCGTAGTGCTGTAGTAAGCTACAAAGAGATCAGGCCTCCTGGAAATGTACCCGAGGTTTCAAATTCATTTGAAAGAAACAAAGAAGTACAAGATTTTTTTTCCTGGTCAAAGATCTGCAACTTTTAACCTACTACAACTCTGCAATTTTTTACACCCCAATTTTTTGTGGTTTCACTCAGCTTGGTTTTCTTGCAGATATGACACATCACAGCAGTCTCAGCACAATAAATGCTGCAATTAAGCTTAACTTTCCTTTTTCTATTTGATCTTTTTTCACTACGGACAGATGAAGCCAATTTTTCAGGTTGGGTGGGGCTTAAAGCTGGATTAATTTGCTATGAATGAGTAGATTTTCATGTGAGGGTTTAACTTTGGTGAATTACCAGAGGGAAGTAAATCTTGATTAACTCCCTGGCCAAGACCCACGTCAGTGCTCAGTGAAAGTTTCAATTGAACAGCAGCAGTGTAAGTCTTGTCCAGGTAGCGTGAAACCTGTGATATTCCAACAACTGCAAAATGCTGAGCAGAGCATTATAGGTTTTTCTAATGTCTTTTGCAATTTCTGGGAAATTAAGCTGGAGTGTGGCAAAGTCATGGCTCTCTGAAAGTCTCAGGTTCATAACTGTACTGTAGGTATGTGTTGTTAAGATCACAGGGTCTATAAAGATTGCTGTCGCCGGTGCTGCTATGTTCAGAAGCAGGAACTGGAAGGGGAACGCTTGGATCTCCCAGCTTCCTGCCTTTATTGGCAGCTCCTTGGGTTGTTAGGAGAAATGGCAGAAAGAAAGGGGTGAGGCAATCTGGGCTTAAGGACAGCTGTGGGGAGATGTGAAACAAAGGCTGTTGTGAGGAGCAAGGTAAGGTTTGATGTGCAGCTGGCGATGAAGGCATAGCTGTGGACTCGAGGAATACGGTGGGAGAAAGTTCACTGGAACTGCTCTGAGTCAGGCTGAGATGGAACTGGATCTAGGACATGCTAATGGAGCTCTGGCCAGGAATATCCATGGGTATGAGGATGTGTGCTCCATTTCCTCCCTGTACATGGCCAAATTAGGGGGTAAAGGCTTATGGTTTCTGTCTTTTTTGTTTATGTCACTATTTGTAAGGCTTCAAGGAACATCTGTAGCAAAATGTTGGTCAGGAAACCCCAAACATTCTATGTTAGCACAAGGACAGTGATGCTCCAGACAGAGGAACTCATCTTGGCAGGCAGTTCACAGCAGAGACAAAAGTCCCATTGCAGATGATAAATGGATAGCCAATCTGTAAATCACAGCAGCAGATGTGCTACTGTGAACAGAAAGGAAACATTCCATCCTTGCTGACTCACAAGCAGTGACCTGATCAGAGTCTGCTTGAAAAAGCATCTGACCTTGGAGCTTCTGTTGTGTAGAACAGTTGCACATAGAAGTACGGATAAATGCTGCAGCAACTACATTGCAGGTATTTATATATACAATATGTGTATTTATATGTACATTATGTATATTTATATATACATTGCAGGATAAAGGAAAGGTTTACCAGGAACCTGCAGAAGCCATTTGGTTTCTGACATGTTATGGCAGATCTGGAATATCTGCACAAGGTTTTTCTGTAGCAGAGATAAACCCACTCAAACCTAGAGCTGATTCTGGCCATTCATTCTTACAGCAGTTTCTAAAGTAACTCTGAAAGCAGCACGAAAAGGCTTGTCAGTGCTTCTACCAGTGGTGAAAATACTTAGCTTGGTTAATTAGAAGTTTATGAACAACTTAAGAAATTTTGGGTAATGTTTGAAACACCCTTTGTCCAGGTGAAATGTTGTGTAACACACGTTATGAGGGCTTTTATCTTCCTGTATCTCTTTCAGTTCACTGAATTACATTCATACGCTGTTAAAGTGACAGCCAAATGAAAGTCAATGCTGAAAGAAGCAAAGCTGTGTTTGGTGCTACGTCTAAATGGCGTACAATGAGTCATGGGGCCATGGATTAAGCTAGGAATAAAAACATTCGCCAAATAACCACCAGGTATCCTGCACACTCAGTGAGGCTTCTTGTAGAAGAAAGTACTTCATGATTGTATGACTGTAATGTACTGCGTGTACTCAATAGAAAGCTGATGTTTTGTAACTCACTAGGACTTGCTTTCAGTACATTACAGCTATTTTACTGTGTCCTCTAAATCAAAGAATGCTTTTGTACCTGATGCTATATTCCTTTAATCAAGTTTCTCTCATTGGCTCATAAGCTAAACAGATTGAGCTCTTTAACACCTCCACGGGAAGGAATTCTTTTCATCTCCTGAATAATTTTGAGCGATCTCACTGTTTCTGTCCAAATCATTCTGCGTCCTTTTAAGTGTGTGAACATCAGAACTGCACAAAATACCGTAGGGTGACCCTCACAGAACTATGAATGGTACTGTATCTAGGGGAAAATAGCAATTTTTTCCCTCCTCGATCATCCCACGTTGCTAAGTCCATGTTGCTAAGCTCTCATATCCAGTCGTTTGTCCTCTGTGATTTCTGTATACTTGCGGATTATTTGATAATTCCAGACTTTGTATCAGGTTGTACTCGGGTGCAGCAGTGAGC